CTTGACCAAGTTCCATGTTTTAATAAATGAGAATAGCCACCCTTCATAGCTGGCTCATGCCAGCATCTGGAATCTGTTTCCTGTCTGCAGTCATTATTCACAAGAGTCATTAAAAGCTTTAACAAAAAAACCAATCCTCTTATTTACACACACCCCACACTATGCCCGCTTTGAATTCCCTAAGATGCTGAACCAGAATTTCTCTGCTGTTTTTTTAATCATGCCGCAAAGATGAAGGCAAGAAAATTAATATGAAGTGGGAGGAGGGGGGCAGTGAAGATCTTCCATAAAGGGACGTGTGAACATTTGTGCAGGGTTTTCTTTAAAGGGTAACAATATAGGAGCTTTCAGTTGCTGAATGTGGGACATAGTCTCCCTGGTACCCACCAGAGGCTGAAGAGACTTTCCCTTCTCTTTCTGAAGAGAACTTAAAAAAACCCACAAAGGAATGTGAGTGCAGGATGCAGATGATGATGGGACAGGGAAGTAGAGGTGAACTTGGTTAAAAATAAATTCCCTTAGCTCAGAGGTTAGTACTGGCTCTCACTCTGCTAGACAGACATAAATACTTTGGATGCATCAACTTTTTTTGGTCCAAGGTTCAACTTTATAGCTGAACACACAGAAGGGGCATATATCAGATTTTAAGCCAGCTTTTGCTTTGCAGGTAGAAAAAGCATTCATATTATTGGATGCTGAAATTGGTAGACAATACCAGTGTAGCCAAAAATGCAGAGAATGTAGACATCAGAAGGACATGCATTTACTTTTCCCACACATATAACCATCTATGAGTATTTATTGTGCAGTCCTCAGTATATTAGTCAATTTATGCAGGAAGAGAGAAGAAAATTTAGACCGCAGTTCTAGGGTGCATGTACAAGGGATTTAGTTCCCATTGAATTCAATGAGAATTATGTTTGATTAAATATGCTTTAGGATTACACTTATTTGATTTATTTATCCACTATCTTGCACATTTTGAGGAAATATAATCCACTTTTCTATCCGCACAAATGGGAATATATAGACCAATGTATTCCTGTTTGCTTAAGTAATTGTTCTCTGCATGGGATAGGACTCTTTCAGATAACAATGCTTTTTGCTTGACTATATATCTTGAGGGGGCTTTAAAAGATCTTTTGTAGTCAAAGCTGGGACACTTGACATATTTTTTTTAAAAAAAGCAGAAGGAGAGGCACAGATATACAGAGAAGGGTGGTGATATGAAAGAGGTGAAGGGAAAAAAAGGATTTGTATGTGCATGCATTTTTACCAAGTGTATAAAAGTTTCATCTACATACTCACTTTCCCTCTTGCCAAATACACAAAGGTGCTGCAACTATCAAATATGTTTGGGTACATAATTTGTTGCCCTCTCTCTCCTATGCATTGTTATAAAATATGTATGGTAGTGCGTGTACAGAATGAATGGAAAGTAGGCAAAGAGATTTTTGCATACCGAGTACGCACTTTATAGACAAGTGCATGCATTTTGATCCATCAGTCTATTCCCCATTTGTCTGGTTGCCTGTCTGTTCTTACCTTGTCCTTCTCTGTCTCTCTTTCCCTTTCTTTCTTTCTTTCTTTCTTTCTTTCTTTCTTTCTTTCTCTCTCTCTCTCTCTCTCTCTCTCTCTCTCTTTTTCTCTCTTTCTTTCTTTCTTTCTTTCTTTCTTTTGGGGCAGGGAAATAGCAGATGTGGGCCAGATCATCTCCTTGCAGCCTGTTTTACATGCTGCTCATGCAGGGTATTCAAACATTGTGGCTAGGGCATGAACCTCAGCTCTTCCCCCTCCACCCACACTCCATAATCTTCGGTAGCTATTTGTATCTTACTCCCTCTCTTTCTCTTAGAAACACATACAGGCATGCATGCAGAGATCCACTGCAGTTCTAAGGCAAACCTTTTTTTAAACCACATTCATAACAGATAGCTACAATGGGATGGAAGGGGCAGAATGGTACTGGGATTCCATTTGTAACCTGCTGCTCTCTTTCTGGGCTCTCTGATATGATGCCCGTCTGATTGCAGCACTGCCCCCACAGATTCACTTCTTAGTTCTCACCATCCATGGCAAAACCTCTCCCCCCCTTCCCCCCACAACTGAATGTCTTTCTGCTATAACTTTTCCCGGCTGCATTGCTGACTGTGAAGATGGAGGAGGGAGGGGGGGTAAAAGAGTCCTGACATAGCCTCATACCTTTGAGAGTGGCTGTCCAGGGTGAGGTGGGGGGAGATGGGTACGGATTGCAGAGTGCCTAGTTTGCACCACAAACTCTGGGGTTTCTACACTGCACTGCGGTGCCCCCTCCCCCCTTCTCAACCCGCTGCCTCTGCAGCTCTACAGACAGCAAAGCAATAATATTGTCCTGGAACTAAAATTAAAAGGGGAAGGGGAGGAAGAGGGAGGGAGGGAGAACAAACAGCATTCTTTCATTCCCCCCCACCCAACCATTGAACTACTTAGCAAAAAGAAGTTCAAAACTGTTTTGCTGTCAAAAGTGCTTAACTGGCATTCATTACAAGAATAAAGCAGGAGGAAGAGTAATGCAATACGGGTTGAGGATGCAGAGCTGCAGTGCCAGAGATTTGAAGGGGCTGCTGTGTGGGTTTTTTTGGAGCAACATTCTGCAATCATGATGTACGAATTAAAGGGATGGGATCCAGGACTGCATTGCTGAGTGTTTGTCACTGGAGAATGAAGTGGATTTGGGCTTGAATGGGAACAGGAGGGACAATCATGAGATTTGGCAGTGCAGCAAGCACTGGGGGTTGTGAAGGTTGTTGGTGGTGCAAAACTGCAGTGGGACAAGAGGTTTCCAAAATGCATGAAGGGCACAAGTAAGAAATAAACTGGAGGTGGAGTGGGGGGTGGGAGAGTTGATCAGAGGGAAAGGAGACAGGAGACCTCAGTTCTGGGGACAGCAAGGAAAAGTTGTATTAGCAGCACCTCCTGCTGGAGATCAAGACAATTCTCTCTCAGATGGAGAAGCAAGTCATAAGTCTGGGGCATGCGTGCAAAGATCCTCCTGCTGTTACATGCTACTACCCTCATTCACACGCTTGCATCCCGTGGAGATGTTCAACTCTTGATCTCAACTTCTTGTCCTAATTTCCCTGTTGTCACCAACCATCCAGCACTCTTGCACTACCCTTGCTTCACACACACTCTTGTGTCTCCACTTTCTTTTTGTACTCAGATTCTCACATTTGGTCTCTTGCATGCTTTCCTCAAGTCCAAATCACCACCTTTTCCCACCAATTATTCCTTCAGTTCCCACTCAAAACTGCACACCATATCAACCTATCCTGTTTTCTCTGGTACAAACCATTTTGCACAATTTTGCTCACCAAATGCACTTTTTGCACACATTTGCACACCTCTTGCACACTCACCATTCCTAGCTCCAAAATTTTCATTCTTTTAACCCATTCCTTCCCCACTCTGAGCACTTCAGGTGTTTTTGATGACAGCTCCCCTTTCACCGTCCAGCACAGCCAGTGAGGACAACGGGAGTTGTGGTCAAATACATCTGGAGAGCCCCAGCCTGGTAAGGCTGTGCTAACCATTTCCCCCCCTTACTTTGGATGTCAGTCTGCAGGAGATAATAATGCCTTATTATCTGTAAGGCATTTCCAACACTCTTTGCACATCACTTGCATATTTATCCACCTGTTCCTGTGATGGTTTTGGGGCCCTCAGTCTTTGAAAAAAATGTTCTCCTGTCAGTGCTTTTATTCTCAGCCTACCATCTTAGCACCTTCATCTATTGTAGAAAATAATCTCCTACCATCTGTCACCAAGCACCTACCCATGTCTTGTACTTGCTCCCATCCTTACCAGGACATTGCACATGGACCCTTGCACAACGATCCTTGTGCGCTATTGTCCTGCAAGCCTTTCACATCATTGCACATCCATTGTCAAAGCATCCTTGTCCTTAGCTCCCTCCTTTTCTTCTAGCAGATCAACACTCTTCCCCCCCTCCAAGACTGCAGTTTCACAGTTCAAGTGAGGGAGTAATGCTGCAAGAGATCTCTGCAGGAAGGGGATCAACCTTATTAGATTCACAGTAAGGTTGAAAAGCTTCCTCTTGAAGAAAACCAAAAGGTTTTTGGAAGACTAAACAAGTAGGTATCCTCAAGAGCAAGCTTTCCTGTTTGTTGGGGTGGGTTTATAAACTGACCTGGAGAGCACATACTTGGCAGGCAGAAAATCTCAAATACATTGCCTGACATCTCTAGGATTTAAAAATAATAATACTGGGGACAGACGCCCTTCCTGCCTCAGAGCCTAAACTACTATCAATAGTCAGCATAGACAATGAACCTATAGTCTGATGTAAGACTGCCATCGACCCTTGCTCCCTTCCTTGGAATAACATCCAACTGAACCCTGCAGGATTCCTTTTAAGATAAACAGCCCTGCCAAGGACTCCTAGACAAGTGTGCAAACCGTTTGATACTCTTTGCCTTGGCTACCTGGCTTCTACTACTGTGTACTGTACATACCAGCACCATTTATATCTGTAAGTTCTTAGCAAGCAGAGAGACCCATATTTGGTGGGAGTCTCTCCCTTTATTTCTATTTTACTTTGCCAACGGGCTTCTGGCAAGTGATCTTTCCTCGATTACCCCGTCTCGTCTCCTTTACCATTGACGTTCAAGGTTTGTAAGCTCCTAGAGGCAGGGGCCCTGATCTCCTGGCTGGTTGTTCTTTCCGGGCTTTTGGCTTTCCTCGACAAAATGCCTCCCTTCCGTGACAATCACAGGGATCCTGATCTGACAGTTGAGGGCTGTCATAAATAACATTTAAAAAGAGGGGGCTTCTGAATTGCTGGGCGTGTGTGCGGAAGAGGAATAAAAGGCACTTTTAAAAAAGAGGTCGGGCCAGGGCGCTCTCCATCCTTCCTTCTCCCCTCCTCAGCCCCCTCCGTCTCAAACCCCGCTTCCCATGCGCTCGCTCCCTGCCCTCTCCCCGTCCCGTCGCGGACTCACCCTGGCCATCTTGGAGGAATAGGGGTCTTCGAAGAGGGCCCACATTTTGGGCTGCCAGCAGGCCCACCAGCCCAGCTTCCGCCCGTCCTCCTGCAGGCAGAGGCGCTTGAGGTCCCCGCTGTCCTCATCGTCCTGGCTCTCGGGCGCCTCGAAGCTGTCGAGGGCCTCCTCGGCGTCGCGGTGCTGGCGGTAGTTCATCCAGCAGCAGGCTTCCACGTCGGTCTCGTCGATGCCCCAGAAGGCCAGCTCCTCCTCGAACAAGGGCCCGCAGACGTCGGCCGGGCAGTGGAGCTTCCCGGTGCGGTAATAGTTGAGGACGTAGGCGAAGACCTGCGGGTGCCGGTCGAAGAAGAACTCGTCGGCCTTGGGGTCGTAGTCGAAGTTGCTGCAGGCGTCGGGCTCGGTGAGCCACGAGAGCCGGGTGCCCGGCAGGGTCTTGAGGGTGCTGCGGTACGTCTCATGCCGGATGCCGCCCACGTTGATGACGATCTTGTCGTTGTCTTCGTTCCGGCCCATCTCCCCTTTCAAACATGACTTGGACGGCGGCTTGTTCCCAGACTTGCGCCCGCGGAAAGAGGAGACGCACACTGAGCTCAGCATCTGGG